CCCTCCCTTCTCTTCCTCAGCAGCCACAAGGCTGGAGGGAAGCTGACCTGGGGGGCATGGCCAGGCCTCTGGCAGACTGCTAATTATGATTGGGGAGGGGTTTAAACCTCCACCCTAGCCTGTAGAGACCCAGTCAGGGTGTGCTTGGAAGGGGGAGGAGGGTGGAAACAGCCCTTTGGAGGCTTGTCCCTGAGGCCAGACGCTGGCCCAGGTAGTGCCTCAGGTGAAGGGAGTGGCAGGAGCAGTGCTGTGCAGTGTGGCAGGAGCAGGAGCTACACCTGGATGTGAGGGGAGCAGAACAGCTCTGCTGGGCCCAGCCAGTGTTGTAGCTTCCCCCTGTCTCTGGCAGCTCCTCCTCCTCCCACTCCTGCCACTGCTGCACCACTCTGGGCGGGAGGGGGGAAGCTTCAGCCCAGTGACTTCTGCCCAATGCCTGGAGATCTGGCTCCAGCTGCCTTCCAACTGCTTCACCCACCCGGCATGATGAGCAGCCCCTGTGGGTGGGCAGAGTGCTTGGAAGGCAACTGAGAGCTGGAAGCTGGAAGCACTGGGCTGAAGCTTTTCCCCCGACTGACCTACCCACTTCCACTAGGGTGGCCATCATAGAGGACAGTCTGGTTGTCCTCTGTCCTCTATTGATACAAAACCCAATGCCTTTATGTCCTCTATTTTTCTCTTTCAAGAGAATTTCTCTTTTCCCTTGAAAGAGAAAAATAGAGGACATAAAGGCTTTGGGTTTCATGTTAATAGAAGACAGAGGACAGAGTAGTAGAAAACTGGAATGTCCTCTATAATGGCCATCCAACCTGCCACCCAGAGTGGTGCAGCAGGGGCAGGAGGAGGAGGAGGAGGAGCCACCAGAGGCAGGAAGACGCTGTGCATTGACTGGACCCAACAGGGCTGTGCTGCTCCCCTCACCTCCAGCTGTAGCTCCTGCCATGCTGTGCAGTGCCATTCCTGGTGTTGGAAGCTTGAGCCTGGTGGCTTCTGCCCAGTGCATGGAGCTCTGGCTCCAGCTAGTAGATACCTTCCACCCTCTTTGCCCACCTGCAGGGGCTGCTCATCACACTGGACAGGCAGAGCAGATGGAAGGCATCCGGGAGCTGGAGCCAGAGCTCCATGCACTGGGCAGAAACCACGGGACAAAAGCTTCCTGCCCGCCCACCCAGAGTGGTGTGGCAGGGGCAGTGGCATGGGTGGCAGTGGCAGCTGGAGGTAAGGGAAGCAGAACAGCCCCACCGACTCTGGCTACTGTGCAGCTTGTGGTGCAGCTGCAGCCACCAATGTTGCACAGGACAGGGGGTGCAGCGGTGGCTGCCAGACTCTGGGCCCACCAGTGCCTCCAGCCTGCTGCCCAGCCAGTCCCACCCATGCCTCCAGGCTCAGCTGTCACAGAGCTGCAGCCAGCTGGGAAGGGCCCTGCCCCTGAATCTGGGCCAGCCCTGCTGGGCCCTTCCCTGCCAGCTGCAGCTTCATGACAGCACTGCCTAGCCTGGGTATGGGGAGCAATCAGGCTGCACAGCTCCCATGGCCCCAACCTGAGCTGCAGTCCACTGGGAAGGGCCTGGCACCCATGGCCCAGCCTGAGCTGGCCCCTCTGTGTCTGCCCTCAGCAGAGCCCACAAGCTGGCCTGGGTCAGCTTCACAGCCCTAGCCATGGGTGAGGCAAGCGGATGGTGGGGCTATGCTGGCCGACTCTGGCCATGCCCCCCCCGCCCTTGCTGCCTCTTGAGCAGTAAGGGGGGAATGCTTGACAGGGGCTGCTACAAATCAGTCAGGCATCCCCTGTGGAAGGGGGAGAATAAACCCCTTCCCTGCCCCTTTTGGTTCAGGGGGCCATGCCAGGCCTGCATCAAGCCATGCCTGCACCCCTGCTCCGGCTAGAGAGCAGAGGAGTGGGGCCAGCCCTGCTGTCTGGAGCAGACAGCCCAGCCCAGTCCAGGGCTGCAGAGCATGCTGGGGTGCTGGGGGACTCTGGTTTAACTTAAACCAGGAAGGGGTCTGGGACACAAGTTCCATAAACTTGTTTGACCCAAATCAGTTAAGTCTGATACTACATTCAACCAGGTTTACCCTAAACCAGTTTTGGCCATTTTGAAACTGGTTGATGTGTACTGAATTTATGTTCTGTTACAGATTTAAACCAGTTTCTTATTACTTAAACTGGTTTATGTGTAACTTCTGAACCTAGCTTGTAGGTCTTTGGTGCTTTTGTTAGGTTGTTCGCAATTGCTGATACCGCAAATGTCACTTCTGGAAATATGAAAAAAAACATAGCTTTGTCAAGACATTGAAAAAGAACCCCTCATATACTTATATGGAAATTTTCAAGGGACATACTAATTAGATCTGTTATATATGTTTATGTAGCTTTTATCAACCTTACCCCTAAGTATTGATTACTACTCAGCTCTTGTGTTTGCTCCATTTTCCCAAAGTGAAAAAAAGAGTATAGGAAAGGCTATAGGAATTAACAGGTTGGCCTCACCATTTCCATATTTTGTAAAGCACACACCAGTAGCTTTTACTGATGCTTTAACTTTGCTTTAATTTTCTGAGTACTATTATTCACCACCCAAAATTACCATTATTATGAGTAATGATTCATTTTGAAATGATTAATTAGATCTGTGATAAGGTATTTAGAAACTGGGAAATTCTTATAGTCCAGTATATAGATTTAAAAAAAAAATGAATGGAATTTGTATTTAGTTAAACTGGGTAAAAATGACACTCAAATGACTTAGTAGGCATTTAATCTTTCTCCATTATTTCTATATCAGTATTTTCCCATTTATAAGTCTAAAGAAGATTTTTCTAGCTGCTAGTGCTTGCAACCTCTACCTTGAAAAGCAAGTTGAATTCTCATTGTGTCTTTCATGTATCATCACAAGAAAGAAAATTTAACAGTCAGAAAGAACTTAACTGAGAGATTTGTTGATCATGCACAAAGCAGAGTAGAATCCAATTTCAGGTGCATCAGTTCTGTAATGACTAGTATAGCAAAGATTTGGTTTCCTAATAAATGAACAGATAAGACTCAAGCACACAGGTAGCTACTGATTGCACTGTCACTCTCCCAGAGGTCTAGCTGAGTATTCATGAACTTCCATGAAAGAGAAGAAATCAGTTCTGTTACCCTAGTGGTCAAACCTTCATTTGATGCGAAGACCCACCCATGGATGCTTAATAATGCAATTTTAACTTTGACTTAAACTTTTTCTCTTCCTGATCACCACTCGTACCCTGAAAAGTTTTCAGGGCCCTTTCTTTCTGATTTTAGATGGCCCACCTTTTTCAAAGGCATGTCCTTTCTGCTACCAGGCCCATTTTGTTTGGATTGACTCTATCACTGTTATTTTTATATTTGGCTCCCTTTGCATTTGTAGACTTGTGGGGATAACAGAATTAGGTTCAATTGTACGATCTAGCAATATAGCCTATTATAGTTCAAGGAATAATAAATGCAACTATTTTATCATGCTGCAAGAAGAAATCAGTCCTATTCATTTTTAAAATGTGTTTTGTTGAAATGTGAGTAAATTTTCTTTGGGAGATAAAGCAACATTTCTCCAAAATGTGTTTAAAACAGCCAGGAAATATATCAGACTTTAGAAAATGTTGTTAAATGGATCTCAGTTTATCTTATGCTTAGTCTTCCTTATATAATTAGCAGTGAGCTAATGTAGAAAAAGAATTATGCACAGGTGTTTGGAAACTTTGTTGAACACTGGGAAGGTACTAAAAAGTGAAAGTGTTGATATCTTAAATCTGAATCTGTTTGCATTTTTAGTGGCTGCTTGGTTTTAATTCCAAGGCACAGGGTTGGCAGGGATAATGATAACCTGAGGTCATCAAAACTATAATGTTTAGATTAGATGGAAGGGTTTTTATGGAATGTGAAAACCAGTTATGCTCTGCATTTTGGCAGGATGGTTTAGGGTCTCTCCTTAAGAAAAATTAACCTAGCAAGAGCATTGTCCTTTTATTTCTCTGTGATTCTAGCTCAGCTGAAAGGAGTAAGATGTCAAGAGGCTGAGCTCATCGTTTATGTAAAGCCGATATTGTTGTGCATATGCGCTGCACAAAAAGGACCCCTGAGTTTGACTTGTGGTGAATGTTTTGAAAATGCTCATTTGCTTTGGTATGTGATCGTTGTATAATATCACATCATCCCAAGCAATGGGTTAAAACATTGCATAATACTATTACACTTGCTCCTTAGCACAAGAGAGAATAAAAATAGTTTTAAATAGGTTCCTAAAAATATCCCAAAGCATTTTTCAAATGAAAGTATTGAATTATGTGAAGGCAACCAGAGTAGTTATTATGCACCCAGTAATAATTAATACATGTTTATCGGTGTCAGTATCTCTGTTTTCTTTGTTAGCCATGATATCAAGGTGATTTTCTGAAAAGTCTCAGTGTCAATTTACATAGTGAATTATTTGAAGTAATTATACACACCACTGTATAATTTCAGATGTGTTCAAAACATGATAATAATATGTAATACTGTGATGTTAATACATTATACTATTGACTGTTTTGGTTACTCTAGTTCTTTTTTGATGTTTTCTTGTTTAATTATATTATAATAAATATGTATATATATTTAAGAGCTCTGCACAAAAGGGTTAATAGCATTTAAACCATAGATCTTGGAGCAAAATAAAGTAAATATAAGATAGATAGGAATTTGAAGATCAATACAGCTCAATAAAATGAATAAACATTTTAAACAAGCAAAACAAATAATATTGTCTCAGTCTTAAATTACAATTTTTAGGATAACTGGATTAGAAAAGGTAGAGAATACCTTATTTCATTGTGAACATAAAAGCCTTTCTTTCACATAGTTCTTTCTTTTGTGACTTTTCGACAGCCTATATCATCAAAATAGCTTTACTATAGTAAGTATTGTGGTTTTTGAACGAGTAGGGTAAAAGACTTCTGAGCCAGAAATGGAGTTAACCATTTATTTCTCTGTGACAGTACAGATTACAAAGAAACAGTGTGGTAGATCTTCAACCTGGTCAGAGATGCACGGGTAAGAATGATTTATTTCTCTTAATACAAATATACTTTAATTCCTAAGTACACTGGCTTCATAGTTTTAAAGCAGTGAGCTATAAAACTCCTCAGTAACATACTATTTTTTGAACTATGCAAATATTTCTTGTAACTATAGATATTCTTTAGCCAATGGGGAATGGGGCATATTTTTTGCACAGACAATTGTTGTTTCCAGTTGTTTGCAAGTATCTCCCAAAGATGGCAGCCAACAAGGCAGGCTGTCATGTACAAAAGCTCATGCCTTTCTGAATGGATTAGTCCAGGGGTGAGCAAAATATGGTCCAGGGCTGGATTTGGCTCATTGAGGAATTTTGTTCGACCCTTTGCGGGGGGGGAGGTCTCTTGGTCCTGCCCAGCCCAGGCATAAGGGTCAGCCTGAGCCATGGCATGTGCACTGGTCTTGCCACTCCCAGGCATGCAGCGGGGCTGGGGCAATGGTGGTGGCGGCTCCTTCTGGCTGCTGCTACCGGACCCAGCCCTGCTGCCTGAGCACTCTGACCCATCTGCCCCACATCTACCACTGAGGGTGAGACCGATACAGGCTGGGCACTTGGCTGGGTGGTAGGGAGTAGCATTGGGAGTGAGACAGGTGGGCGGGGTCAGAGAGACCCTGCAATCTTGGGGTGGTGACGGTGTGGGTCCAGGGCTGGGGCCAGGGCCGAGCCATAGTCTGCTGTCCGCCCACCCCTGTGATGGGTGATGGGTGCAGGTTCTGCAGGCAGGGGCATGCAGGGTGTGGATCATGGCTATGCCCTGGCCCTGGCCCTGCACTGTCACCGTCCTGTGATCCCAGGATCTCCATAGAGAGCTGCATCTGGGTTGGGTCCAGGATCTTGGGGAACTTACAGCATGGGGCCAGGGCAGAGCCATGATTCACTCCCTTCATGCCCCTGGCTACAGAACCAGCACCCATCGCAGGTGTGTGGACAGGGGATTGGGGCTCTGCCCTGGGCCCTGGCTCCACAAAGTCGCCATCCCATGACCCCACCCTGTGATCCTGGCCTCTTTCACCTATCCCACTTCTAAACAAGATTCCCTGCCCACCCACCCATGGCCACATCCCGCATAAGGAGCTTTGATGAGTTGTTGTGTGCGGGATGGGAGTGGTGCTGACCCAGCCCATGTCTGCTCAGCAAAACTCCTTATGTGGCCTGCAGGCCCAAATAATTGCCCAACCCTGGATTAGTCTCTAAGGCTAAGTACAGGCATTCAAGAAGCCCAAGGCAGAAGCACTCTAACTTTCAAGGTTTACTCTAAATGGTTTGGTCAGGATGGAATAGAACAGACCATCAACAGCCTGTTGGTGGGGCAGGGCTTGGCCTGCCTGCACAGGTTGACCCCAGCAGTTAGGGAGAGCTCTCGCATGCTTCCCACTGTGCCCCATGGGCTCCTCAGGCTGCCGAAGACTCCCAAACAGAGCCAAAAGCCTGAGACACCCCTGATTGACTTCTGGGCATGGGCTACCATGCCCCTAAGTCCCTGCCATCATGACTTGCATGTGCCTTCATTTCCTGGCCTGCACGCCCAAGCAAGCAGGGAGGCCCAGGAGCTGCGGCAGGTCCTGCTGATTGCCATGTGTGAGTCTTGTTGGAGGCTATGGGACATCACAGCTGCCCACCTGGACCTGACATGGCAGTGACTCTCCATGACATGTGCCTTTATGTCCATGACCAGCCAGCTGGCCATCCCATGCATGGCCACCCAGTGTACCCTGTGCATACCAAGGGTGTGAGTGTGTGATTCATAGATTCATAGATGTTAGGGTCGGAAGGGACCCCAACAGATCATTGAGTCCGACCCCCTGCATAGGCAGGAAACAGTGCTGGGTCTAGATGACCCCAGCTAGATGCATATCCAACCTCCTCTTGAAGACCCCCAGGGTAGGGGAGAGCACCACTTCCCTTGGGAGCCCGTTCCAGACCTTGGCCACTCTAACTGTGAAGAAGTTCTTCCTAATGTCCAATCTAAATCTGCTCTCTGCTAGCTTGTGGCCATTATTTCTTGTAACCCCCGGGGGTGCCTTGGTGAATAAAACCTCACCAATTCCCTTCTGTGCCCCCGTGATGAACTTATAGGCAGCCACAAGGTCGCCTCTCAACCTTCTCTTGCGGAGGCTGAAAAGGTCCAGTTTCTCTAGTCTCTCCTTGTAGGGCTTGGTCTGCAGGCCCTTAACCATATGAGTGGCCCTTCTCTGGACCCTCTCCAGGTTATCCGCATCCCTCTTGAAGTGCGGTGCCCAGAATTGCACGCAGTACTCCAACTGCGGTCTGACCAGCGCCCGATAGAGGGGAAGTATCACCTCCTTGGACCTATTCGTCATGCATCTGCTGATGCATGATAAAGTGCCATTGGCTTTTCTGATGGCTTCGTCACACTGCCGACTCATGTTCATCTTGGAGTCCACTAGGACTCCAAGATCCCTTTCCACTTCCATGCCACCCAGCAGGTCATTCCCTAGGCTGTAGGTGTGCTGGACGTTTTTCCTCCCTAGGTGTGTGTCAGATGCCTGGGTTCTGGGGGAGGGAGGGGGTGCGTGTGTCCCAGATGCCTGTATTCCATGTGTATGTGTGTGTCCTGGATGCCTGTGGGGAGGGTGTGTGTGCATGTATCCCAGACACCTGGGTTGTGTATATGTGTGCGTGGGTCCCAGATGTCTGGGTTCAGTGTTTGTGTATGTATGTGAGGGGTGGTCCCAAATGCCTGGGTTCTGTGTGGGGAGCATGGGCTTGGGGGCATCCTAGATGCCTGTATTCCATGTGTGTATGTCCCAAACACGTGTGAGTGCGTCCTGGATGCCTGGATTCTGTGTATGTGTTTGTCCCAGACACCTGGGTTTTGAGTGTGTGTGGATGTGTGTGTGTGTCCGTGTCTTGGATGCCTGTATTCCATGTGTGTGTGTCCCCCAGACATCTGGGTTCTGTGTATGTGTGCATGTCCCTGGCTCCGTGTGTGTGTAGGTGTGTGTCCTAGACACTTGGCTTGTGTGTGTGTGTGGGTCCTGGATGCCGGTATTCCTGCCCTACCAATGTTTGTGGCCCCAGCCCTGCACAGTGGCAGGCTGTCCAGATCTGCAAAGCCCTGGCTGAGTAGCTCCTCACCCACACCATGTGAACTTCTCTGGATGAGGGCTGCCCCTGTTCTGGCACTGGGCCATGGGTCTCCAGCCCCAGGCTCCTCTGGCCCTGCATCATGGGCAGCGCTGTCCAGAATGCAGGCTGGCCAGGCACCCTGCCCCCTCTCCTCTCCCTCCCCAACCTTCCCCAGGGGCACACACCGAGGTGCAGAGGCATGTGGCCTGAGGAAGAAACTTGCCTCATTTCAATCAATATGTTGAAACTACCATACTTTTAGTGTGTTTATTAAAGAAAAACTGTCGAACGTTGCCTGTTCCAGAACTTGGAACCTTCTTTGCAATTAACATTGAGAGAGTGGAGAAAAACCCTGACTGCACCGAGTGGTTATGAGGTTGAGGGGGAAGAGGGGAGGGCAGCCACAGGTCTCAACTTAGACATGAAACCTTGGGGCAGTAGGGGAAATGCCATGTATAAAACTGCTGCCCCTTGCTTTAATTAAATATTGCACCTGTCAGATTTTTTGCATGCATAATAAAGACAAACTGCAATGTATCTTGCTCCAGAACTTGGACCTGAGTCCAGGAGGCTTCCTACACCTCCCCAGGGGGCTGCAATGCTCCTGTGCAGTGGGACCCAGGTTCAGAGTGGCCGGGCCCGGCAGCCTGGTGAGCCATGCTCTGTCCCATTTTGAGCACTCCTGCACCCTTCTTGTACTGGCCTGGAACCTCTTTGGGGTCCTGTGCCTGTGCCAGTGGATGCCACCAGCTAGTCCTGGAACCTGGGCTGAGTCACTGCTGGCCTTGGTATCAGGTCTCAGGGTGCCTGGTCTGCCTCCCCTCCCATGCTGCTGCTCCCTGGAATGGGCCTCACCCAATGTCTTACCGTCTCCTTAGGCCATGGGTCAGAGGTTCCCATACACCACGTCTCCTGTACTTGGGTCCCCTTAATCCCCAGCTTTTCCCAGTCACTGCATGGTGTAGAGCATTCCCCCTCAGCCGCCCTCCACAGCTGGCCTCCTGTGGGACACCTGGTTATGTCACCCCAGGGAAGAGTCCCTGGAATGGGACTGACCACACTGTGGGAGGCTGGATGTTAGCCTTTCCCAACGCTCTGGACCAAAAGGGCTACAGTCTCTCTGTGGGAGGTGGCACTGATGTCAGGGGTGTTGTAGCTTGATCCCAAGCAGTCTTTGACCCTGTGCATAAATGCCTTATCTTGGCGCTGCAACTCTCTCAGCTCCTCAGCGGTGTGGATGCCTTCTCTCAGATGGCAGGTAGCCACCTGGAGACCTCATCCTTGGACCTTTGCAGCATGTTCCTGGGCCTGGATGGCTCGTTCAAGTGCTGTGGAAGCACGGGTGCAAGCAGTCAACAACCTATCCATTCCAACCCCGAACATCAAGGGTCCCATTTGGTCCTTATTCCACCCAAACCACGTACACACATGTCTCATGTGCTCTGCAGGTGTCTGGCCAACTATCCAGGATCCAGCATCTTGGCCTCCATGACTGGGCCTCCTGTGCACAAATGTGGAGTCCGCAGACAACTAAGGGACCTATGCTGAGTCCTCCATCTGGACCTTTTCCCCTACCCAGGGTCAGAAGCCATGCAGCTGCTCACAACCCAGCACTGACCATGCTGTGGAATGCCTGCATTCTGCCTCCCACTTGGGCAAATCCAGAGACCTGGGTTTTATTTCCCAGCTGTGGGAGCTGGGAGGGCTGGGAGCCCAAGCATCCAAGGCTGGAGGGATATGCCTTCTCCAGTTCTCCAAGAGAAGGAGGAGGGAAGGAGTATGGGTGGGGTTTGCTAGGGGAGATTTTTC